AGAGGACAACAGGACAAGGGAAGAGCTGGGCAAAGGAATGGGGTCAGTGAAGCCTTGTCTGTGTCTGACCCCACAGGAAGAGTAACCAGATGATAAGTAACCACTTCCAGGCACAAAGACCTACAGGTCACTTAGGGGCAGTGCAACCCTCCCAGGCATTTTCAGTGAGATGGTTGAGGGGGCTGGGGGGAGCACCTCTGAAGCTGAATACCTGTCTGTCCTCTGGCTCCAAAGAATTCACAACCCTCCCTGTTGTCCCATCCCGAAGTTCCCAAAGACTCATTCCATTACAGCATCAGCTCAAAGTCTGGAATCTCATTATCTAAGTGAGGCTAGGTACAAATGAGGCTTCTTGAGTGTAGTTCCATAGGTGAGCTCCTTGAATATCATTCCTTTTGATTTTAACAATCTCCAAACTAGATAAATCATCTTTTCCACCCCTACCCCCACCATACAATGCTGGGACTCAGACAGGATGACTGTTCAAAGGGGAATGGTAGGTGCAAAGTAGTTGCTTGCGCATAGCAATTCTGAAACCCAGTGGGTAAGTGCTGGAAGGTCCCCTACTAAGACTCAATCCTACTTCTGCCAGGGAGTACAGTGATTCACCATGGTTTTCAACTCTACCTCCTGGGGCTCTAGATTTCATCCCCTCACTCATCTTTTTTTAGGTCAAAAGCCTCAACTTAGCACTGTCTCTGCCCCTTTCAGTCAAAGCTGGTGGTATTTTTGTGAATATCTGTAAAATTTTGTGGTTTTCCTATGAATATCATTGGGGCTTTTCTCCTTTAGACAAAAGCCACACATATAGATCTCTCTGAGATAAGCCCTTCCCTATCTTGGGCTACTCCTGAAGTTAGCTTTCCTTTAGGCTTCTTAGAACCCCAATTTGGTTGAAAGATGTGGAAAAACATCCCTAAACACTGGCATATTTTGTCTACCTGAAAGGTTCTCTAAGGCACCTTGCACATCTAAGACCTTAATGAGTAACTTCATAAGTATACTCTCAGCCCTATGTTTGGACCCTGTTCTCTTGGCAGTGCCTTTCATTTGCCGTTGATTCATAATTCAGGATATTATTTAATTTTGCCATTACCTAGTAGCTGGCAACGTGGTGAGGCCCCTAAATTACCCTACCCTGGTTTTTAATAATTCTTTCTACAGTTTATTTTCCTCCTGTTGCATTTTACTATAAGCATCAAGAACCAGGTTGGAAAAAAAAACTTTTAACATCTTGGTTGCAAGTGTCACACAGTTCATTGGTGATTTTCTGTTTTCATATAACTACAAGTGACACTGTTGCTAAACCTTCTTCTAGAATATATACCGGATCCCCCTTAATCAGTATCCAATACCATGGTCCTTCTTTCACTGTTAGCAGACTGTGCAAGGAACTTCAGCTTTCAGGAACTCTGTTCAATGCCCTTCTAGGGTTTTCTGCCACCCTCATCTCAAAGCTACTCCCACATTGGTAGGCATTTGTTATGGCAGCCCCCTTCTTTCAGATACCAGTAATCTGTATTAGTTATTGATTGTTCCATAATATATTGCCCCCAAATGTTTAGCACCACTGTTTTTGTGGTTCAGGAATTCAGGAGCACTTTAGCTGACACATGAGCTCAGGACCTCTCATGTAGTTATAGTCAGGATGTTGGCAGACACAAAAGCCATTATAAGCTTGACTGGGACTAGACAATGGCTTGCACACAGAGGTGTTGGTTACAGGCTCAGTAACCTTGTTATGGCTCCTCCGTCTATTGTCATGGCATGCAGCCAATGTTCTCCAGGGCAAGGGATACAAGACAGTCTAACTGTTCTAATAGGGATTACTTTGATTGCTCTGTGAACAATAGTCAATAGGAGGTCTAGGATAGAAGCAGGAAACTTACTAAGATGCTAATAAGATGATGCATACATTGATCAACTTTCTCATCACTGGAACAAAATACCTGACATTCTCAATTTAAAGAAGAGGTTTATTTGTTGCATAGTTGCCGAGGTTTCAGCCCCTTCTTAGCTGGCTCCAAGCCTAGAACAACATGCCGAACGGGCATGGTAGGGAAAAACTGCACACTTTGTGATGGCCAGGAAGCAGAACACAGGTGAAAAGCCTGAGCCAGAGACACACCTCCAAAGGTACACTCCCACAGAGACATACCCTCCAAATGGGCCCAACCTCCTAACAGTATATGCAACCATGAACATCTACAATCAACTATAGTCCCTCTATTATCCAACCACCTCTCCAGCAGTCTCTTCATCCAGTCAGACTGACAATTTAACTAGCATAATGCACGCAAGAGAGGATGGTAATGTGGACCAGGGGGTAAGCCATGAAGTCAGTGAGAACTGTTCAGATCCTGGATGCATGCTGTGCTATTCTGAAGACAGGCCTGATACGATTTGCTCATAGGTTTCGTAGGGAGTTGAAAGGGCCAAGAGCAGCAACATGGTCTTGATCTGAGCAAACTGAAGGAACAAAATAACCAATAACTGAGATGGCCACTCTATGTATAGTTTAGGAACCTTTATTATCCATATTTTTAAGTGAGGAAAGTGAGATTTTTCAGTGGGTAATTTGCTGAAAGTTTCCCAGATAATATGTGATGTAACAGGTTCTCAACTACTGTACACTCTTGTCCATTGAGCCAGGAACATTACTAGATGGAATCACTTGTCAACACTCTTTGCCTGTAAGCCACTGGCAGATGCCTGGGTCTCTTCCAGATGGCTGAATCAGTGGTACGGGCAGGGGCATGGAGGGCAGATTCATCACTACTCTTAACATGTGTGGGCTCATAGGACTCATTGCCTATGCCACTGACACTCTGGGACTCCAGCCAGAATCTGGTGCATGTGAGTCATGCTAATAGGGGAGCTTCCAAACATGCACCCAGCACACCAGGGAGAAGGCAAAAGTCAGGGAAAACCTGTCCCCCACATGTCACCAGGCTGCCTGCTTTCCAGCTGGCAAATGTTAGCACCATTTTAGAAATTCACCACCAGGGCCAGCTATGTAGTACAAACCTGCTACTGGCTTTGTGTAGAGGATGCCAAGGGCAGGAGTCTAAAATATTAAGCCAAGGCTCCACGACAGTTACTGCTGTAGCCATCCACATCTGCACTGCCAGAGTAGACAGAATTCAGCATTTTCTAGACTGGATCCTTTTACAAGTAATTTGGATTTTTTTTTTTCTTTTCTAATTCAATTTCCACCCTCACCTCCTAAACTACATTCCAGTTCTTCACAAGAAAGAGGAAAATTCCAAGTGGCTGCCCTGGGCAGAAACAATCCTGTTACTAGGCTGGTCCCCATTACTCCGTCCTTACCTGAGAATCCCTTTACCTGTTGAGGGAGTAAAAATGTTTTCCTCTTTCTTTTCTTTCTATTCCTCTATAGGAGAGCTGTAATGATCATTTTATAGACATAGTAATATTTGATGATAAGCAAACCCCCAAAAAATAAAACAGCAAATTTGTTTCATCTTGTAGTGAAGAACAAAGAAGAACGTCTAAGGAGGGAAAGCAAAGAACATTCAGTGGCTTTACATGAGGCCTAACTAGGGAAGTTTCCTTGGGGTGGACTTGGATGTAGGGGAATTTGAGTCTCCTGCTGATTTGAGGACAGATCTTAAGTGTCACCACTTTTTAATTTTAAGTGGAGAACATAGAGACCCAAAAGGAGAGTGTAAGTAGGAGCCACAAATCTAGGAGATACTAGAACACACAACTCCTGAAGAAAAATGTCCAGCCTTACTCAGAAGAGGAAAAATGCAAATTGAAACAAGGCATCCATCAAATCAATGAGGATGTTTTGAAATGATAAATCCAGCACTGATGAGGATGCTGTAAGGTAGCAGTTCTCGTGGCACGTAGAAGAATGAAGAGAAGTCTGGATAGGCAATCTGTATCAGAAGCCTTTAAAATGGGCCCACCCCTTTAGCCAGCAATTCCTAAACTGTTTAAAGAAATATTAGTGGACCTGCACATAGCTTTAGCTTGCAGTGGTTTGCTTATTTGAGAGAAAAGTTGGAAATGATATAAATTTAATTAACTCATCAAAACTGGGTGGACACTTAAATTCTGTTACAGGAGAATATATTATGTATGATACAGGAACACGGGCATCTTATACTGGTAAATGAGAAAGCAAGGTACGATAAAGGGAGATATGTGAGAAAAACATATAAAATATTATAATATTTTAATATAATAATATATTATATTATTATAATAATATAACAACTAATAACAACAACTAATAATAACAACTGCATAACAAAATGACTAAGAGCTCAAACTCAATAGTCAGATAACTTGGTAACTTCTCAAAGCCTCAAGTATCCTTTCCTGTGAAATGGGGATCGGGGCTGGGGATTTAGCTCAGCGGCAAAGCGCCTGCCTGGCAAGCGCAAGGTCGTGAGTTCGGTTCTCGGTACCGGAGAAAACAAACAAACAAACAAAAAAAGAAATGGGGATAAAAGGCCCTTCTTTGTGGAGTTGTTAAGAGATAAATGTGAAGCCCACAGCGCAGAACTTCTGCTTGGAGAGTATTCTCTACCAAAGCAGGGGTTACGTTTCTCTATCAAAATGGAACAAGTGCAAGACCTCAGGGGTGGGTTGATAGATTACTTTTTTCTCATTGTCTTCTTTGCAATTTTTCTGTTTTTTGTATCTTATACAGGAAATATGTACTATTTCTGCAAAAAGAAAATCAAGAAACTCCTAAACTGTAGGCCCAGAGCTGCAACGGAGGGGAATTCCCTCAATGCCTGGGAGAGCTGGCCCGAGGGTGGCCAGTGGTCAGAAGGGCACCTCCCAGCAGCCCGCAAGCCCTCTCTGTCTGGTTCAGGTGGCTGCCCTGACACCACAGTGCCACATGGCCCTCAGAGTGTGCAGTAGCTTTCCCTCAGGGGTGTTTCTCCACAGAGGTGGAAAAGGTAAGTGCTCACTGGTCTGAAGTTCCCCACTGGGCTAAACAATGCTCCTTTACCCCACAGGCTCATCAGCATGGAATGCCAGTCTCATCTCTCCCCCTTGCCAGATTCTCTTCTCCTTCCATGTTCCAGCATGATAGTTCAAGCTGCATCTCCTTTGAGAAGTTTTCCCAAGTTTTCACAAGGTGCCTTAGGATGCAATCTCCTTATCCCCTGAACCCTGCCAGCCCTGCTGAGCTCATAATCTTACATGTACCTTGGGACACTCTCCAGCTCCTCAGTTCTTATCTCAATATACCTAGTTCCAGGTATACCATATATATGCCCACACACATCACTTGGGTTCTCTGGGTCTCTGTTTCTGCTCTGAAAAGTGGGAGAAATTACACTGCCTTTGCAGGATGTTATAGGGGCTAGAAATAAATCACTTAATAGCCACTACTCAAAAAAATGGTAGCTATGATCATCAAAAGCCAAACATCCCTTTTCTCTTGAAATTCACTGTTCTTGTCTATAGAAGAGGGAAGTCAGCTTGAGGAGAAGGTATTCAATCTTTGGCACACCAACCCCTAGGATGTTTGAGAACTTGTCTGATTCCTTCCTGACTCTCAGCTGAAAGCATGAAAAGGGTTTCCTAACATGTTATATAATTTAACCATTTTATCAATTTGGTCCTCTTTTGGAAAGTGTGTTTCATATCCAATGCCACATACCTTTAATTTTAGTCAAACTTTCTAGGACTTTCCAAGTTTGAAAAATGCTCAAAAGTAGAATTTCCAACATTGGGTGAAGTCAGCTGAGGACGTGGCCTTGGCAGAGACAGCCTACACAAGAAGGGTCTCGCATGTCTCCCTGAAAGCCTCACCAAGGAGGCCATAGGGTACAAACCACCTAAGCCAGAATAGAGGCCATGGGGGAAGACAGGCATGGATGACTTTGAAGGCCAGGGCCTGAGTGACAAAAGGAATAGTGGCTGAGTTAAGTGTCCTCTGAGGTTGTGGAGGCCCAACAATCTCCCAAGCTAGGCATCACCTTGCCTGAAGTTCTCTGGTATTCTGCAGGGTTCTACTCCATCTTTGAGTATAAACACTGAGCCAAGGGTAATCATTCAGTTCATTTTCGCTTACTTTCACTTACACATTGCTAAAAAAGATCAACCACCCATCTGAAAAATGGCCCAAGGATATGAACAGCAAATCTACATAAAATGAATATAAATGTCCCCTAAACATATAAAGAAATGGTCAATCTCACTCATAGTAAGAGAAATGTTCTCAAAACCCCACTGAAATGCTTTTCACCTGTCAGGATGGCAAACACCCAAATATTTGATGACATACCCTGCAGTATGCCCATTTTTTAAGCCACTGATGCTCAGCTTCAAACCCTCCCTTTCTCTTCTGTGTGGAATGCTGCAAATCACACCTCCTCCTCTGCAGAGGAGAGAAAAGGAAATGTGAACACTAGAAGGGGAGCTGAGACACAGAAGGGTGTGACCAGGACCCAAGACCTGTGGGACCTACCATGAAGCCAGAACATCAAGAAGAGCTGCTGGTGAGGCCCCAGAGTTGTGGCAAATAAAACAAGGCACATTTTCCCCGAAGAAAGTTCAGAGCATGTTGGCCCAGCTGGGGGGCTTGTGGAGGACCTGCCTCATTCCCTAGGTGACACAAAGGAGGCCCCTGTGGTATTCAGAAATGAACCTAATGTGATAGTGAAGCTACCATGGCTTCCAGCCCACTTCCTCCTCCCTCTGCCCCAGACACTGAAAAATCATGGGGAACCTGGGGCTGATCTGGATGATTATTCTTCTGGGTTTACTTCCTGTGAACTTACTGGAAAGAAACAACTGATAGGAACTCTCCATCACAGGCTATTCTTAAATCAGAGACTGTCTGTAAAGACAAGCAGCTTTACCCTGTGAGGACAAACAGTAACCTGAATCAGGCTGCTGGCAAGAAGAGGCTTTGGTGCCCAGACGAATGGAGTACAATTAGCACTCCCGTTGGTTACAAGGCAAATGACAGTGTCTCAAATGCTTAAAAGCTATTTGTTCCCCTAAGTGGATTACATATTTCCCTCTCCATATCCCCTCCCCTTACTTAGTTCTCCTTGCAGTCAGCAAGCTCTTTGGCCTGGCCTCTGGCCCAGTTATTGCCACTTCCCTGTCTGAAGCCTCCTCAGTGAGCTCTTACCCTGCTAATAAGCAGCTCTTTCTCTAAGTTGGCTTTTGGACTTGCCCAGAACTGTGTTAAATCAGAGACAGTTTCTCTAATCTGCAGCAAACACAGGTGTCTGGGGCTCCTGATCTTGACTTTTTTTTAAGAAAATTTAAAGCATCTTGTCCACGTGGAGGAAACCCTTTCTGTACGGAAAGACGGCGGGCAGTTAAGGGCTTTCTGGAGCACATCATCAATAGGTGACAGTTCTGAGGATAGAGGCTGAGGTCCCCGCAGAGACAGCTTACACGCCTTCTCTGAGCCCTTTATTCAAGGAACATTGTTCCCAAGTGCACCAGAAAAGTTGTTTTTCTTTTTTTTTGGTTTTTTTTTTTGCGGTGGGGGGACTGGTAGGTAGGCAGGCAGAGGCAGAGACAGACACAGACACAGAGAAAGAGAAATGTAGGGATTGAGAGACACAAGGCACTCCACCACGGAGCTATATCCCCAGTCCTTTTTATTTGAGACAGGTCCCACTAAAATGTCAGGTTGGCCCCTAAATTATGATCCCCTCCTGCCTTAGCCTTCTGAATCTCTGGGATTACAAGCATGCGCCACCCTCTCCAATCAGGAAAAGGCTGTGGCAACACCAATTTATAACAGCCTGAGCCATCTCACAGGATCTCTGTGGAGATCCCTGGAGGTCAGTTCACTGAGGTCACATTTGTGCTGTTAGTTTCCCTCTTTCTGAGCAGGAAGCCTCCTGGCTCCTACTCCTCTGGCGAAGCCATTAGTGAGGCTGGGAGCAAACTCTGCTTGGAGCCAATCCACGTCCTAGCCTTTGCCATCCAGCAGCCAAAGCAGGATTCATCTGCAGTGGGTGGGAAGACAGAGGGACGCAGGAGTCCTATTCAGAGGAGCCTGTACCCTAACCCATCTGCATGGCAGGACCCCCAAGGGAAATGGCTACCTGGTTTCCCGGGTTATCCAAATTGAGAGCAGGGAACTACTGTCTCAGCTGGCCCAGAACCATCTGAAGGGCTTCCCAGGATGCAGGAAATTTCAGTGCTTTAGCTGGAAAGAGAGCTGGGCACCCTGAGCAGTGGCAGAGGTCCAGCAGATCACATCACCTATGGGAAGCACAGTGCCCCTGTCACTGATTCCTCTATAGCAAGCTTAAGGGCCCCTCTCCTCTCCTGCTCAGCTGTCTGCTTACCTCTGACTCTTCTAGCAAGCTGTCCTCCTCTCTCCCCTGCCCCCACCTTAGGCCAAATGAGACTCTATAGCTCAGCAGCCATCGGGATGGCCAAGATATCAGGCTCTCCTCCAATCCCCAACTCTAGAACCCAGATTTTTGTGTCAAAGAGCCACCACCCTCTCAGCAGCACTCACCTGCATCCCTGAGGAGGAGGGAAGCCACATACAGCTATCAAGAGGTGGTTGCAGCCCTCCAGCCTTCAAGGAGCCCTGTCTCACAAACAGGAGGAATTCCTGACCAGCTCTGCCCTCTGCCTCAAGTAACTGACAGGGCTGGAAAAAGCATCAGCACCCAAAGCAGAAATCACCTGTATGTGTATTGTTTGTTTTCTGGGCCACTGAGCTGTCAAGAGACGTTAAGGAATGAGCCAGGCGTCCCCAGCTCCACTCTGAGGAAGCTGCCCACCCAGCAATCCCCGCAGATGCAAACTGCCAGTACTGGCCCTCAGCCAATGCCACATAAGGTAGACCTAGCTCAGCACCTTCCACACACAATGACTGTCCTGGGAGGAAGCCCTTTAAATACAGATTCCCTGCAGATCTCTCCATCTCCCCAAAAGCCCTGGAAGGTGGGGCAACCCTGTGTAGTCAGGATCACCTGCTCTTCAGATCCAGACCTCCATGCAGCAGGCCCTGTGTCTCCCGCAAGATGTCTGACAACTCTCAGAAGTGCATGTTGATTCTGGTTTCCTCCTTCATTCTATGGCCCTTCCTATAAGGCTTCCCCAGCACAGACCTGGAAGCTCTCCCAACCTGAGCACAGTCAGGCATGGAAGGGAGATACAAAGATTTCTGAGGATTTGGAGAGCACCTTACTCAAGCATGCACCTCACACCAAGCAGCAGAGACAATAAAAAGTGGACCCTGAAGTTCTTTTTAAAAAGTACCCAGGAAGGACTGGAGATTACTCAGTGGCACAAGTGCCTGCCTGGTAAGAGCAAGGTCCTGAGTTGGAATCCCAGTACAAAAAGAAAGTACCCAGGCATCTCCCCCTACTTTGCTCCAGTTCCTTGTTGCTGCTGCCCTCTCTCCCTGATGCTTTCTGCTCTCCACCACCCATTCCTACGCTGGGGACCAAGGCATATAAAATAATATTTTATTATGCTGGGGACCAGGCTATGTGACTGGGGTCCCATGGCTCAGAGGCTTATGTGACCTGCTTTATGAACAGGGAAGTATGAGAAAGGCTGCATGCTTCTGGCTGGGCAGAGAAAGCTCTTAACTACAACATTCCTAAAGCAAGATAACATCTGCTGAGGACAATCTAAAGAATGCAGGCATAATGATACGGAGAAGGACTTGTTCTCCACTAAACTGTTCTGCATTTACTGCAGCTGCTGTTCCATGAAAAGTACACTATCCCTTCCTTCGTGCTTCTTGCTTGCTTGTAAGAGTGGGTCAGCCTCGGAGATTGTTGTGCCTGTCTGCTACAGGCAAGTTTCTCCTGGTCCTCTGGTACCCTGAATATTGTCTTTTGTCTTTCTTTATTTTCCACCATTCTCCCCACAGGTACCTGGGGGGTCTTATCAGCCCCTAGCATTCCTAGTCCCTTTCTATGCACAATGGGGTGATTCTTCACTCTTCCCCAAAGAGTCTGTCCCACATCCATGTATACTCTGTGAATCTCTGAAAACTAAGATTGTTCTTTTCCTAAGCAAAGCCATTACTGGTTGTGGTAAAATGACGGTTTCTTCTGAAAATACCATTAATTTTACCTCTCAAAATACCATTAATTCTAAATAACTCAGGTCACACAACTGATAGGAAGCAGAGCTAGAATGACCCTTGGATCTGTCTTTGTCCAAAGCTGTATCTCCTCCCAGTGGCCTTAGATTCCAGGGGTGGCCAAAGCCTCAGCCTGCTGAAGGGGTCTGCATGACCCAGGCAAGAAGCAAGGGTGCCTAAGCCCAAGAGAACTGTCAACCATGAGTTTCAGGGAGCCCCAGGCCTAAACATCTTCCCAGAGCCCATGCACAGAGACTGACCAAGACCACCTGGCCTAGTACAGGGCCTTGGCTCTCCAGCAATGAGATTCAGAGTTGAGAGATGCAGGAGTGAGAGCAGTCAGACAGGAAAGGGAGGTCTTAGCCATAAAACAGCTACCAAATCCTGGGTGCCAGGAGCAATGTAAGAATCTTTATAATATCATTTCTGATCCACATAAC